AAAATCCCTGTTTTCTGTTTGCAGATGACGTCAAGATAGCTGGATGGAATCTAGCAAGGGACATAAAGGTAGTACAAAGATGGGCCGAAAAATCGGACCTNGACGAAGAGACGGCAAGGCGCCTGTCGATACAAAGGGTGCACGAGGGAAAGGATCTAGACGTAGTGGTAACGCGGGATTTCAAACCCAGCACCCAACGTGTGAAGGCCGAAAACAAAGCCAAGGGATAACTGTTTCGTCTAAGCGCAATCATGACGTACAGAAAACCCAAGGTGTTTCTCCCCTATACAAAAGCATCGTCCGCCCGCATCTGGAATATTGTGTTCAGGCTTGGGCTCCATTCTTTCGAAAGGAAGTAGATACCTTGGACAGGGTTCAACGTCTAGCCACGAGGATGATAGCTGGTCAACACGGTAAAAGCTATGAAAAGCGGCTTTAGGATTTAAATTTGTTCTCCCTCAAACGGAGGCGGATGGGAGGAGACCTAATCGAGACATTTGAGATCGTCAAGGGTATGTCAGGCCTTAGATTTGACGACCTGTTCTCCTGGGTTCCGCATAGACGCACGCGGGGACATAACTTACGGTTGCAGCGAAGCCGGTGTAGGCTGAAACTGAGAGCAACGTTTTTCACCAACAGGGCAAATCCATTGTGGAACCGGTTGCCGCTGGCAGTGGTAAGCTGTAGTACTGTGGATGCTTTTAAAAAGGAACTTAATGAGTGTTGGATAGCGGTTTTCCATGAGGTAAGCGTTTAGTACCACCTATAACCTAATCACTAAGAATGTGATACTGCACCACATATTTCTGCCTTTCAGAAAGAATTATATATCGAAGAGTTGGAAGCCAAGGAAACTCGCCGACAACACACAAATTTGGACGCTCGATTGACAAGAGCCACAATTCGTCCTGTGATAACTGAACTCCACATGTAACCTTCTCCTCTTGCATTTCATTGTTTTACCGCACGAAGTCCACCTAGTATTTAGTCAACGTGTGTTTGCTTTTTCGGCACACTTGCTCATGCTTCCGTATCTTCTCTTTTGGCTCTGCAGTTTTACGCAATACAACAGTCGTAAGAGAAAGGTGCAGAAACAACCACAGTGCATGGCTCAAGCCAACCGCATTCATTCATTCACACACATTAGTTTGACGAGTCTTAGCCTTGATTGAAACGTCGCAGTAAATATCACTCAGCGCTCACATTCTCATTCGAAATATACAACCTAAACCGAAGGTATTCTCATATGTGAATCAAACCTTTAGAAACATTGCGCTTAACTTTGTGACGAATGACTGCCAAATTTTACTGCAAGCGCATGCACCGGGAACTGTTAAACGATGGTCACCGCAGAAAGCAAGTCAACAGAAATAAATGTAATAGTTTCAAGGTAAAAGCATCAGGAATACTCAATTGTGATTCGATGGAACGAGTGGAGTAAGTTAATCGAACAACTTCAAACGTCTGCCAATCCAAAGTTAAAGGAAAACCAATTCAGAAGTTTATTTCACTGAAAAGCGGTTTAGCTGAAATGACAAAAGTGCAACAGCACGACCGAAAAACTTCATCCCCTCATTTGAAGCTGCAATTCGACAGTGCCCAATGACTGAAGAAAATCGCCAACAGCTTAGGACAATCATCTGCCAGCAACTCGCATGCCTAAGAGACACGTCACGTACCATCCTGCAGGGTCAGGCCACAGCCCAAAAATCAAAGTATTATCAATTTACGCACAGATGAGGGTATGGGCACTTTGTTCCAACGTGCCCACACAAACTGCAGCACTAAATAACGCAGACATCAAGAATGAACCCCTCTATTCTGTACAAACGCGCACCCCAAACGTTTTAACAAATCATGGCTTTGGGGAAAAAGAGAAACCAAAGCATGACCAGAATAAAACGAGATATGCAGTGTCAGAAGCAGTCGATTGCATCCTTTGTCCCTAGGGTCTCAATACTGCCTACGAACCCATAGCAATTTGATCATTAGCCAACTTCAAGGACCACGTAGAACCACAAAGGTTGGTGTATAAAATTCAGTGTAGACTGTGAACAACACTCTGTAAGAGAGACAAGGCGTACTGGCTTACAGGAACATACTGGCTATGTGGCGCGCTCGTCAGAGGTCACACATTTAGAACCGCTGAGGTCACGAGGTCAAAATCAAAGAAGAAAAGATACTAATTAGGACAGAATAGAAGGGAGAAACGTTTGATCTAGGAGGCGCATCACTCGACCAACTCATTCAATCGGTGACCTAAAAGCGATAATCACTATGCGACGGTTGCAAAATAAATTAAGAAAGTGAAACTGATGGACATGCAGTTGCCCAACAAACCACAGTGAGACACGAGCAAACCCAATTCATGAAGAAATCCACTATATGCTTGAATCAAATCCTCTGCTTCTTTCGTATGACAAACCCGATTCATTCGCGCGCATACACACTAGTTTGGATCAAAACATTATAACAAATACTACCACCCAGTGATAATTTTATCCTTTTCAAAATACGAGTATGTAATATGTAGCCCTAGTGCGGCTACTATGATTTGATTGTGAGTAGTGTGCATGTCTCACTGGACCCTTAGTTCATGCTGGTTTGTTTTCTGTACCTTGCAGATTGATCGCAAAAGCCCTCTGGAATACCACAAGCACTGTCCCTCGGTGATCCGCAGGAGAGCACAAGTGATTGGTCGTGCTAGCATTCATATATTGAGTGCCCGGCCTTGGTGATAGATTAAGGGTATTCGCACATCGAATAACTGCTCGGGTGTATCTCGTGGCTAACAGGTGACAAGCTACATCACACGGTAAGCTCGGAGTGCCGTTGCGCACTACAAGTATATGACGTTTAGGCGGTTTACGTCGATGCTGTTGGCGCGCACCGGCTTTTGGGGGTCGATCCCCGGCACAGCTACTCAGCTTTAGTCACAACCAAATTCAATGTCAACTGACTCAATATCAGGTCTATAGAGTTCACCATTCCGGGTCTCCCTACGGAACAGAAAGATCGCGGGATTGTGCAGCCAACCTCTTTCTCTGTTCACCCCAATAAGATGTTCAACGAAACTTTGAGAAACCGATTACCATTATCATCGCACAGAGAAACACAGCTAAGTGGATTTTAGGTCATTTCTATCAAGCTTTCGATGGGTGTAAAGTAAATATCGAAGTGTAAGGTAAATTAAGAGGGTGTGCTTAACGTGGTTGGTACGTACAGTTACGCAGTGCGTTGACTATTCAAATGACCTAAAAAATTCACTTGACAATGAGGAACCTTGCGATTAACTAAGCTGGATAACATTTATGCCAGTAACAGGTACATTAAACAAATACCTTGAACACGACAGACCCAATTCAGTGATTGAATACACACGAACTGATCGGCAATGACGAATGGGCATAAATGCTTATTTATCAACAAAAAGGCGGAAAGCAAAACATCCTGTTCAGGACAGGTTGATACGGCCGCAGTTTGTACAGTTAAGGCAAAGTAGAGACGGAGGGCGACTGAAAAACTGTTGAATTGGAAGAATGCGCGTGGATGTTTATGCATGCGTCCGTTAATTACACAGCCGTGGGCTCTGCCTGTGGATGTTGCATACTGTCGTCCACTTGAATAGTTGGAATTTGCAGGCAGGGGAATGAGGGCGGGCGAATTTGCGGACAAAAGTAGCAGATTGATGGATTGTTTTAACAGAAGATAATAAACTACCGCCAAGAACTGATAGCGTGACACAACAGGTTAACCGAATGGAAACTTACGCCCGTATCACATGTGCCTGACTCCAAGTTATGCTAGGACTTCATCACCATCATTATAAATTGGACGGGACGTGGGGGAGGGATCGTGTCACACTCACTCCTAAGGACGAGATGGATTTCAAGTGTACATCAATGCGATAAGCGGACTGATTCCAGGTCGTCTGCAAGATTTCGACGGAATAAGAGGGCTGAAACGAATTACCATAGCGCTGCTACCGCATAGGATAGCACACTCCAAGAGAGATAGATTCAACACGATGGACGAGTATGGATTAGACTCATCTATATACAGAAATATTGATGTCGCTGATCTTCACATGCGGATCGCGATGGAGACAGAACGGAAACGGACTGACACACAGAGACCACAAGCGTGGCAGAACCGTAGAACAGGAGTCGAACAAAACTGCATTTCTGTAGCACTGAGACGAGATGGAAGAGAAAATATTAACGAAAAAAGAAACACTAAGGTGAAATCGCCACAGATGAACAGAATGATAGAACGGATGGGAATCAATGGCGAACCGGAAGAAGAAAAGTTAGGCATGAGCCGTAGAAAGTACTATCCCATGTCTATTTGAACTTTGTCCGATGGAAACAAAAACCGGGGACTAAGATCACGGTGACAAAATAACTCATACGTTGAGCAGATATCGGAAGCTCAAGGGCCGACGGCTGGTAGAATAACGAGCTTTGTTTATACAACTGTTTCACATATTGGTCAGCTGCTCGTGGGTTGGTTATAAATGTAGAGTGCTTTGTAACATGAGTGAACCCCAAAACAGCTTCAATTGTTTCATCACGAATCAGCGTGTGCTTAGACATACCCGTCCGCCAACGAACAAGCGCCGATATTGGAAGATTTTTAGTAATTGTGACTATAATCGATAATTGGAATCAGCGCTTACGTCCACGTCATGAGCAAGACAGAATAGTGAGGATTGCGTGTAGGATAAAAATGGAGCTTAATCCACAGGACGTGGTTTGGAGGAAGCTATCAATCAGAGGAGACTGGCAGAACAACAGACGGCGATAGATGGAAAGGCCGCGGCAGTCGAAATGGAACGAAGGATAGATGCTTGAAAGAAATAGGTAACGGGACTTTGACCGCAGGAACAAAGGATGAGAACGGGAGCATAAAAGGAGGTGAATAGCGAGATCGATTTCACAACTGGGAGCAGGAGTCCCACATGAGATATGAAGAGAAACGGTGCACAAAGAGTCGTCTAATCAGGCAAGATACCGATATACACGACGATCATCCTCCATACGGGCAAGAAATTCACGTTCAATCAGTGATTCGATCCGCTGTTTAATCATAACTGGTGTCGGAACAAAACGGGATTTCAATTGCTCGATCACCTCCACTACCAATTGACCATGACCAAGCGTTTTGCGTGCCTTCATCACACGAACAATGGTGGCCTCGATCACATAACGACGATTCTCATCCGCGCGAGCTCGAGTTTCTTGCCGTTCCGGTTCACTCTCCTTCACAGTAATACTCTGCACCTGGTTTTCGGGAGTAAGGGGCAACAGTAATAAAGAGTTAGGATGAACTCTCTTGCTTATTTGGACTTTGTATCAATACCATCAGAGTAATCAGGTCGTCCACAAACGTCTGCAAATATACAAGTTATTTATATAAGCATCAGAAATTCTCGTAAACCAGATTGTCAGATCCTTAAATGGCCCAAGTGGAATTATCAGTCTCGCAACTTCAGACACAACAGACAACTAAAAAGTACCGATTATTAGTGTAGAATTCTGCGTAGTGTCAACCCAGCTCTGGTGCACAAGCGCACATTTTTCCTCAAATCCGTGTGCATCTATGCGTCATCTGCAACGCAAATGGATCTTCTGAGGATAACCTAGTTAACACACTCAATCAAAACTGCATCAAAGCTTCGTTCAACCGACACAAACACCTGCGCTAATGATTGGTATTTTTTAACTCCTGATCGTCTGTAGTAATGAGACTGAGAAGTCGATTTGGGACGTTTGGGGATCTGACTGACTGTTTGGTCTAAGAGAATTCCTGCTTTACCTTTCTCTCGCTCTCTCTGGTTTCGTGGATAGCGTTGTTTTCCCAGTACTCGAGTACGGCAGAATAATTGGATTGAAAATACGTAGATTGAACGTAAGACCTTCAGTAATTGAATTGCGGTACTAAGACACGTGTTGGACTTTCAGAAAATGGGCTGTCTAAGCACTTATCTCCCATGTTTGGGCTATGTTTTGGTCATCCAGGTGAAGTAGTTGAAGGTAAAACCAACGATCCAACGTGATCCAACGGTGAGCTACGGCCGGGGGGGGGGGGAGGTACAATTGATGCAACTTAGCCACGGCTTGGAGCTAGTGAATGGCATGCACATGTGTCGTGGGTAGTGCCGTTCATATTGCTTATCCGATACCTAAGGAGCACTGACAAATTTGCACTTGTTTACTCCGGCTTTGGGAAAGAATTGCACGGGAATGAAAGCCAAAATAATGGATGCATGTGCGTGCCGATGAGCACGCAACCTGAACAGGAAGCACTGGATGAACGAAATAAGCTGAAGACATGAGAAAGATAAAAATTAGAAAGCAGCTCAAGCAAATTCAACGTCAAGGGTAATCAGAACAGGAACACACACAGGATATCAGTTTTAGTAGTGCCAAAAACTCGTGGCTTCGAATAATATCACAGATTGAAGAATTCAGATAATATTGGAGACCCCTAAACACACGTGAAAATCCCACTTATATAGATCCCGTGGATGATGTACAAACATGAGAAAATGAACAGTTGTGGTCTATAGTGAAGGGGTAAACAAGAAAGGTAAATAGGAAAAGTACATTACTGAGGCTAGTTATATGTAGTTGCAGAAATCCATCTATTAGATGAGTTTCTATGGCAACGTATAATCCTGTCAAGTAACATTGATTTGAATACAGAGCTTCTGACTGATCACGGTCACTAATTCATTGGAGTTTTACACGATAGGAGACGATTTTAGTTGCTCGATAAAGGATACTGTGTATAACGTTTTATTAACACTGAAAGCTGATGACAGAACATAGTAATTTACCGTTTGCCTTCCTCAAGAAAGCCTACAATTATTCAGACAACCGATAGGCATTCCTCAACTATGAATAAGAAATAAGTTTGATACGCTCAGTGTGCGATACAGCCCATCACCGTCGATATAGATCAAGAACTTGTACCAGTGTTCTACGACCACAACCCAATAGCCTTTTCATACTCCGGTACTGTTTGTCTAGCATAGAACAGATAAAAAAGGGAAGAAACATCGCACAACAAATACCGACAGAATTCCAGCACTGAGCAGAGCTTGAAAAGAGAACGAAAGACAAAGACATTGTTTACGGTAACCTGTCAAGCACAACGTTTCATTCATGTGAAAACTTGGCCAAACTCAACCGAATTCGGGAGGTGCTGTTTGAAAAAGTTTAAAAAATCATTAACCGAGATAAACCTGAACAAAGAACACGACACGGCCAGCGAGCACGATTTAATTCCAGAATCCTTTCGCTGCATCTCAGCTGGTGCTTACGGTAGAAACAAAATAGTTTACATATCACAGGGCATGACAACCTACCATGATATGAGTTCATTCTTCCGCTTACGTGGTCACCAGGGCAACGCCAGACTGATGGAAACCTCGTTCTGCTGACAGTAGGGGCTTTCGGCGCTTGATTGCTATCGCCTCTGTAATTCGTACAAGCCGCCAATTTGGGGTTGTGTAAGCAACCTGAAACGAAGTCCCGCGATCGGTTTGGCGGCCAGACTGCAGCAGATGGCGAGCAAATGATGGCGCAGGTGCTCTGTGAGACTGGCTTGATGGCCTGGTTGTTTGTGTAGCGCTTAATGTCACCCGCTCGCGTTCGAC